TTCCCTGAAACTATAATCTTATTGAATGCATATACCAGTGAGACTTGTCTGGATTAAATGCATTGTCCAGAGTCACAAAGCCAGTATATGTCAAAGATGGAACTTGGCCCTAGGCCACATTATCCTGAGGACACCCTATTCATCTTGTCCTCTGAGACTGAAAGGTCTGAAAAACTGTACTTGCTTTCAAACGACTTCTAATGGAGATTTAAATTCCAGATTTAACTGGCATTAGATCCCCAACTTTCTTCCCCCTCTCCCCATGAACCTTCCTTAAAAATACTTTCTGCTATCTAATAAATTGTTTTCTTTCTGCCTGGATGGCTTGTCACTAGGCGTGGTGGAAGGGTCTCTTTATTTACTCGCAACAACCAATCCAAGGATGAGTCCCAGTTGGAAAAAGAGGCTTGTCATTATATCAGGGAGAACTTATGAACAAATCCAGTGACTTGGCTCCACAGAAAAGGATGTGTTTGGCAGCAACCAAGCACAGAAACCAAAGTGGAAGCAGTGCTGGCCCAAGAAGAGGGGATTTCCCTTGGGGAGAAAAATGTGACCGGTTTTCTGTTTAGATTGGCTACTCAAGAATCCTTCTGACCTGAAATTGTGCTAACTGGGTATTGCTGGGAAGTGCGTATGACCATGTGGCTTCCTTTAGCTTGTCTTTGATTAAACAGAAGAAGGGACCTAGGGATCAGCACTCAGATTTGGTTTCTGGTGAGATCATCCGGTGAATGTTTACAAGCTCCAACTTTCCACTGCTTAAAGGGGATGAGGGCCAAATAACTGCTAACTTTGGGACTGTCACACCTCAAGGTCCAAAACCTTGGTTTGCATTTCTTGTCTCACCCTGACCTGTAGGCATTGGCACAGGGGAGGGGTTGTGAGCCATAGGCTGCTCCAATGTCAAATACCTTTGCTTAACTAAGGATCCTAGCTCTGACTAGGCTGCAGAAAAATGTGACTGCACATGGTGTAAAAGAGCCCCATGGGTGCTTTCTGTTTATGCTAGTAGTCTGGGCTCTTTCCTTGGAAGCAGCCTCCAGTTGCTATAAGTGGGACCAAGAGGTCAACTCATTGGCTTCATTTCTCCCTTTCTTGCCTCACCTGCCTCCTCTAAGCAGAGGAAGGTGCGACTGCCATTCAATGACAACTGTGCTTGGGCTCTGGTATGAGAAAAAGGTCAGAGCCCTGGATTAGTCTAGTCCAAAAAGCATTTTATTAAGTGTCTGCTATGTGCAAGGCACTACTCTAGGCAGTGGGCAGACCTGAACCTTTCCCTCTACGGCTGAACTGTCTTGTATGTGTTGTATTTTGTGAATTAGAATGTGAGTTTCTTGAAAGCAGGGACCATTTTATTTTTTTCTCTGTATCCCCAAAGCTAAGCACAGTGCTTGGCACATAGAAAATGTCCAACAAATGCTTTTTAATAGATACATTCATCCAGCTTTCCATCCATCCATCCATCCATCCATCCATCCCCCATGTGTATTGTATCTCCTTATTAGAATGTAAGTTCCTTAAATGGGGGATGGTCTCACTTTTAAATTTGTATCCCCAACACCCATCACAGTGCCCACGACACTTTAGACTTCTAATCAGTTGTCATAGACTGATCAGTTGATTGACTTTTGGACAATTCCCTTCATGCTATTTCCTGGAGCATAATCAACCCTTTGGTGCTTTCAGGATGGGAGTAATGCAGGGGAATGCTAAGGAAAGGAAAAATCTGACCAAGATTTTAACTCTTACCCCTCCCAAGGGTATTTGTAGATAATTTCATATAAATATAATCCATGTAATTTCACATATATATGGAGGGGGGGGAAAGAATATGTACTTGGAGGGAGGGCCTATGTAGGTCAGCTCTGGGAGGACAAAGGGAAAAAGCAGAATTTGTGACCCTAAAACTATTTATCTGCCAAGAGGGAAAAAAATCAATGGCAGCTCAGTTTGTTTATATTTCTTGTCTGTAGCCTGAGTCCAGGCTGCCACAGTCCAATATTTGGTAGTTGATGTGGGTGAGGAGATGAGTAGAGGAGAGTGGAGGGATGAATCTCCCCTAAGAGAGGAGAAGGTACTTCCTTGCTTTAAGTCAATATCAGAAGACAGATTGACTTGTCAGCCCAGGACTCTCAGAGCAGGAGGTTACTAGTGTTCCCTGCAAGTACCAATAGATTTGACTGCACAAGACACCCCACCTCCATGGCCCCCCTTTTTTGATGAAGCACAGGGTGGAAAGACCGCCCTCAGCATAGTATCCTCCCCAGCCTGTTGACCATACTCTTCAATGAACTCCCAAGATGTTCTGTGCATCCTAGCTCCTACAACCTTCTTGTCCACCCACAAAGTCCACCTCCACCCAGCTCCAGAATTGTCCCCTTTTTTTCCTGAAGGCTGAGCGGTGACTCGTTTGAGACACTGGGCCTCAGTCACTGTTTTATTGCTGAGGTCAGTGGCCACAACCCAACTTTGGATTGACTCCAAAAGAGCATGACACACAATAATGCTCATGTATAACAGGTGTTGGATTAATTTTGTTTCATGTTGTATCTGTTTACAAGAGCTTAGTTCGGTATGCTGAGCCCTCTAAGTCATGGATATTCGCATAGTCTGTTCTGCTCAAGGTTGAAAACACATAAGAGAATATTGCTGAGGACTCTTCCTTCTGTGAGAGATCAATGAACAATTCAGGTGGTTGTTAAATGTGTCTTTTTCAGGATAAATTCAGGAAGCCCCATGTCACCCCTTCCATTTCCTTAGACTGATAGCCACCCTGATTAATTAGCACTAATGCAAAGCGCTGCCATAATAGCTGACACATATGTCCACCTGGAGTCATTGTCCTATCAGTGTATAATTGATTGTTGAGGGGAGAGCACTCTAAGCTGCTTTTTTTTTTAAAGGAACACACACAGATGCCACAGATACAACCCAGGACAAAAGAAAAAAAATGGACAGATGCTTTCTGTCAGTCTCTTACTGAGCTATTAACCTTTAGACAGGAAGAACCTTGGAAAATGATTAGCAAACTTTCTTTCTTTTTTGAAGAATGAACATTGGCAATTTTATACAATCCTCTGTCACCCAAACTTTTAATGGTACACTAAACGTTTTCTAGACAAGGAAGGTTCCAGAGTGGAATGAAGAATTAATCAAAAAAGCACTAATACAAAATGGATAGGGACTGATCCCATGATTTCATTGGTACCTCTACTGGACTCCTGCAATAGATAAACATAGACAGATAGATAGATAGATATAGATAGATAGATAGATAGATAGATAGATGGATGGATGGATAGATAGATAATTTATATATTAAGCACTTACTATGAGTAAAGCACTATATTAAGTGCTGGGAATACAATAGGAATTATATTTTAAGGGTGTGAGACATTGCATAAAAGGGACCTGGGTAAGGAGAGGGTAATAGCCTGGGGGCAAGGTGGAAAAGTTTGGAGAGTGAGGAGTGGAGCAAGGGAGTGAAGTGAGCAGGGATGGTCTGGGCACTTCCTAAAATTATGATCTGAACCAGGAACTCCCCCATCAAAGGAGAGGGCCACTGATTGGAGGTAGGTCTGGAGTGCAAAAGTGGGAGAGTCCAGTGAGTCCAAGGGAACGGAGAGGAAAGTCAAAAACTTAGTCTTAGAGACCACCCCCTCCCCTAGCCAGCTCCATCCCTCCAGACTGCTGAGTAGTTAAGTGACTTGCCTAGCCTCACACAGTCATTGTCAGTCAGAGGCAAGATAAGTTCCCTATTCACTGTGTCCTGCTTCCTCTCACTAAGAGTATATGTTGATAATATAGAAAGACAGATGTAGTAGAGCTTGGAGTCAGGAAGACCTGGGTCTGATTCCCAGCTTAGGTACTTATTAGCTCTGTGACCTCGAATAAGTAGCTTAATTTTTTTTTTTAAACCACAGTTTGCTTGTGTGTAAAATGAGGGAGTTAGGTCAGATAGCCTTTAATGTACTTTACTATTGTAAATTTAGGAGCCTATGAAGTTCAACAGGATCTCCTTTGTGTCAAGTACTCTGCTAGGCTTTGGGGATGTAAAGATAAATATATTGCATGGATTTTGTGTTTGATGAAGCTACTATACCTATGGAACTTAAGTTTCCTTTCCCTGGATCTAGCTCTGGACAGCTGCGGTTTTGCCTCTGATATCAACACAGGGCTGAGCATGGGTAGTCCTTCCTCCTTCTCTCTTTCTCTCTCCCCATTCTCTGAAATGTCACCAACTGCTAGCCAGAATGGCAAGATCCACCCCCTGCCCTCTGGACTATGGTTCTATAACCATTACACCACTCTCTTGATGACCCTTGCCTCCCAGTTTCTCGACCTCAATTCTCATGGACTTTCTCTCAGATCTGCTTCAACTGTGAATAGGGATAGCCATATCTTATCCTAATGCTCACTCCCAACTTAATTTGCCTTAGGTGCCAGAAATTCTAGTTATAACTCTGTTGGATTTTAAATTCCACAAAGGCAAGGATTGAGTCTTTCTAAATATTGTATTTTCTCAGAACCTATCAAAGTCCTCTGCACACAGTAGTGGCTTACCAAATATTAGTTGAATTAATCATTGATTCAAGGGTGAATGTGATTAGTGCAAATGGAAGTGCTTATTGAAGCTTGAGATGGGTGTGATTCTTTTGAGTGTGTGTGTGTGTGTGTGTGTGTGTGTGTGAAGAGAGAGAGAGAGAGAGAGAGAGAGAGAGAGAGAGAGAGTGAGTGTTAGGCAAATCTTGTGAATGAAGTAGCACCTGAATTGTGCCTTGAAGGAAGGGAGGCATGTTGACAAAAGGGATTAAATTAATCTTCCTTGACTCTGAAGGTCAGAAGTAGGAGCTATGAGTGGAAATTGGAGTGAGGTAGGTTTCAGCTCTATGGAAGTAACAACAGAGAGACTTGGAATGAGCTTCAGTCTCCCTGTCACTAGGAAGTTTAAATAGAGGCTGGATGGATATTTGGTGAGGATAATATAAAATATGTACCTTTTCAGATGCAGGTTCAACTAGCTGACCTCTGAGGACCCTTCCATGTCTTAGATTCTGGGATTCTGTGAATAGAAGGAGATCAAAGGTAATCTATTTAAGGCATGAGGAATGGTGTGGAAAAAGGCTCAATGATGGGAAATGACAGAATGAGAAGAGGTATTAAAGAGGCCACAAGAACATAGAATACACAAAAGGGATTTGTAAGCAATAAGGTTGGACAAATGGATTGGAATCAAACTGTGGAAGGTCTTGTCTGCCTGGATCAGGAGCTGATGCTTTATTTGGTAGTAAATTGTAATTCAGTGAAGGTTTTTGATTACAGAAGTGACGGATCGATTCCACTTAAAAGACCCCTTGAAAACCAATGATAAACTGATGCTATTCATTCGTGGTTAACCATATATTCATGCACAGTTTACCTTCCCTAGCTCCTTGCCTATGGCTATAAGAGAGGAAACTAATTTTCTCAATCCCTCTTCTACTTCCTTCTTATTCTATCCACAATCTGCTGTTGAGAACTTCTGAAATGCTCCCCCCCCCCAAGTGTTATATGAAGAGAGAGCAGAAGGAGGATCTTGGGCTCCATATCACTTGATAGCAAGTAGGAATTCAAGGGTAAAACCTGGCTGGGGGAGACAGTGGAGAGGACAGTCAATATATGTGGAGGTGTGGTGATGGTGGTGCATGAGAGCACCTGATAAAGGGCACCGGGAAGCTGTGAGGACCATCAGATGAACAGGGAGGACCAGTGTCCCTGAATGTTGGCAACCTGAGAGAAAGCTCCATTTGTCCTACACTAGTTACAGTTCTGTTGATTAGGACTTTAGCCTTGGCTAAGATTCCTACTTTTACCACTGTGTTGGCTCTTTTAATCACTTCCCTTCTTTCTGGTCCCATTAAATCACTTATGAAATTGGGGTGTTCATATAACAAAAATAACTCACATTTCTATGCTGCTTTAAGGTTTGTAAAGGACTTTCCCTAGATCAAATCTGTAAAGTAGGGAGTCCATGTATAGTTATATTCATTTTACAGATGAAGTAACTGAGGCCCAGAAAGGTTAAATAAATTACTTATGATAGCTGTTGAGGGCAAATTTGAACCAAGGTCTTCTGACTTCATGTTCAGTGTTCCTTCTACTATTGCCTCTGAAATGTGAGAGAGAATTTACATTCAATTATTAATTAGGCTTTTGTTTCTTCTCACTTAGCTTTCCTCTTAATGGTTTAAAAGCTGATTGTCACTTGGCATCTTTTCTGAACATGCTCATTTATTTGATTCAAATGGAGACTAGTTATTGATGACATCCAAGAACTTTTTCCAATAATAACAAAGAATGAGGAACAAACAAAAGAGTTTATTGTGGTAATTCTTGATAGGGCCACACAGCCAAAGGAGTGTGCTCAAAGTGCAGTGGAGGAAAATTTTTGCCAAGGAAATGCAGACTCCTGGAGGGCAAGAATTGCATCACTTATAAACATCTTTGGATCCCCTGCACCTCCAACAATGCCCTCTACAGTGTAATGAATGAATGTTTAATGAATGTCCAAAAGAGTATATGCTGATTACTAAGAGAGTAGTATGGAATTAGAGCTGGGGACATACTCCCTTCACTTCTCTGAATTATAGCAAATGACACCATAATGCTGGAAATCTAATGCCAACAGCCATGAAAAGTTGCCATTAACATGAGATCTCATAAGCAGCAATCTCAAAGTATGCTGGCACATATGAGATGGTTTTGGCCAGAGATAATAGACTGACAAAATCTGGTCAATTCACTGGATATGCTGCTTTTGATAAATTTAGCAAAACAGTAGAACATGCTCATGCTGTGATTCTGCTAAGTAGAAAATCCCCCAAAGCTTATAGATGATTAAGGATAATTCATCCTCAACTTTACAGATGAATGGGAAGTGTGGTACAGATGACAGAGAACCACAGATGTTCCATACTCCCTTGGGTAGAATCAGAGTCCTAAACACCAAAGGAGAATTGACTTGATCTGTGATCTTCAGCAGTGGGGAAAACATGGAGGCTAGCATCTTCTCTAACTTGCCCCGGGCACATGCATTCCCCTCTTCACCTCCACCTGATAAAATCCCTAGCTGTGTTCAAAGCACGATTCAAAGTCCTTCTTCTGCTCTGTGAGGTCTTTCCTGGTTGCGCTGTTGTTCTCTCTCTCTCTCTCTGTCTCTCTCTCCCCTGCCCTCCCTCATTTCTTTTCCCTTCTCCTCATCTCTTCCCCTCCTCTTTTCCCTCTCCTCCTCCTCCTCTCTCCCCCTCCTCTTTCATCTCTCCTCTTTTCTCTCCTCTTTCCTCTATTCTTTCCTTTCCTCCGCTTCCCTTTTTCTCTCTCTTCCCCCACTTTCCTTCCTTTCCCCTTTTTCATCTCCCTCCCTCTTCCTACCCCCTTTCTTCCATCCTTTGCATTATTTAGCATATAAGTAGTATCTACATCCTTGGGGAAATGTCTTCCCTGATAGAATGTCAGCTCCTTCACATTTGAGACTGTTTCATTTTCTTTTTTATGTTCTCCTCAACTAGCAAAGTGTGTGGCACATACTGTGTGCTTAATAAATGTTTGTGGAATTAGATGGAATTGTTTGAATGGTTGCTGAGATGCAGTCAACCATTCCACCAGGCTGTTCAGGAGGAGTGTGGTGTGCAATAAGTAACGTGGAAATCACCTGCAATACTGAACTTGCAGAAGTAAATGTTGACATAGAAATAGAGTCAGTTATCTTGGTACCTGAGATGGTCCTTCTGAACATATTTCACACAGTGAGGAGGTCTTTATAGGAAATCTTTCCTGGTCTCCTCCTTCCTGGCAACTGATATGACCTGTCCCTTTTCATTTTCCTAGGGCACCTGATCTAGATTTCCCCTTTGCCCCTGTAAGGTAGGAGAGGCAGTGTGTTATAGTACAAGAGAGATGAACTTGGAATTTATACAATCTGAGTTCAAATCTTGCCTCTGTTACTTAATGCCTATATGAACATAAACAAGTCATCCACCCTCCCTGGGTCTCAGTTTCCTCAACTGTAAAATGAAAGCATTGGACTAGATGACCTTTAAAGTCCCCATCCATTCTAAATCTTATCATATTCTGTCTTGTGCAGAGTTATGGACATGGCATACCTGCTCCCTCACCACCATAGATAATAAACTCCATGAGGGCAAGAATTAGGTCATTTTTCATATTTGTAGCCTCATAGCCTAACACAGGAACTCATAAATAGTCATTGTTTAACGTTTGTTGACTGAATTAATGAATGAACAGAAGATGATGCAATATACTTGAAAAAATACCAGTATGATTCTAATGTAAACACCAGATTCAGATAAGAAAGTTTAAAAAAATACTATCTTAAATATATTGGATAAGGCATTTTTCATCTCTGGGCATCAGTTTCCTCATCTATAAAATGAGGGAGTTAGGTTAGATCACCTCTCAAAATCTGTTCCAACTCCAAGTCCTGTGATCCTGTGATCTTTTCATTTCCAAGAAGTTCAAAGCCCTTCTCAAACAATGAAGCACATTTTCTTCTAGCATTAACTTCCTCCTAGGAGTAGGGTAGGTACTTTTGGAGCCTGTGTTAACTCTCCCCGTGTTTTTCCTACCACCAACTAGTGGTGTATTCTTGATCAAGTTATTCCTTCTTATTCCTCCATTCATTCGGCCAATCAGCAAATTTCCTAAAGGCCTGTCACTTGGTATCTTAGTTTCTTGATCTGTAAAATAGAACTAGTGTTACCTGCCCTACCTACTTCACAGGATTTCGGTGAACATCAAATGAGACACTGTTTGTGGAAAGGCCTTAATAAAGTGTATAAAAAATGCCTTTACAACTGTAACATAAATATCATATAGACCGTACTTTGCCCTGAGATAACATCTGAATTCAAAGATTTCCGGTCTCGCAATTATGTCTTTCTTATGGTTTTCCTTATGATTTAGCATAAGTACATTTCCTCTAAATGCAATCTCATTGAATGAATCCTGTTTCCTGACTGGGTGACACCGATCATTATTCTTGTTTGGTGACTATATGGAAGTCATACATTGATAGGCTGCTCAGTTTTATTTTTGATTTTTCAATATTTTAGAGTGCTGAGATTGGATTTAGAAAGACCTGGGTTTGAATCCCATTTCTCATACATACTAGTTGTTTGGCTATAGGTGAGTCATTGAGTACTTCTGAGCCTCAGACAACTTTCTATTGCTGTTAGGAAACCAAGCAGTGCAGGGGATAGAGTGCTAGACTTGATGTCAGAAAGAACTGAGTTCAAATACTGCCTCAAAAAGTTACTAGCTGTGTGTCCCTAGGAAAGTCATTTAATCTCTCATAACCTCAGTTTCTTCATCTCTTATTGTTTGTCCTTTGTTCTCAAAGAGGACCAATGATATCAGGAGGTTGATGTCTTGACTTGCAAGTAAATTGGATTTAAGGGAGGCAAGGCTATGCAAAGTCATTAGCCTCACTTTCTTCTCCTGAGTCATTCAGAATCCAGTGACAAGACATAGGTCAGGACAACCAGTGATGGCCCCTTTCCTCGTCTCTAAAAAGGAAGTGGTGGGCCTCAATGGCCTCTAACATCTCTTACTGCTAAAAATCTATATTCCTAAGATAATAAGTAATTAACAAGTAATAGATGGATTGCCATTTATTGAGGAAGTTAGTGACTGCAGAAATCACAACTCTTTGACGTTTGGATCTATTTCGCTTATTATTTCATGTCGTCTTGAATGAAATGTTGGAACTAAATCTAATCTGCTAATGTGAAGCACATAACTAAAGAAATGGTTCATTTCTGGCCAGTACACCAATCAGATTTCCAAAACAGACTGGTGGATATGATACAAAATCAAGGATGGGCCATTGTTTGGGAGGCAACATCAAATATGACGCAATGTTGGACCTCTCCTAAAGTCAGGAAAGACCTGGATCTCTACACTATGCTACATTTGTGGTTGTGTGAACATGAGCAAGTCCTTTAACTTTTTAAGCCTCGGTTTCTTAATCTGTAAAATGGGGATAGTCATAGTACTTACTTCACAGGATGGGAGAAGGGATTAAATGAGATAATTTTATAATGTACTTTACAAACATTAAAAGTTTGTAGGAATGCCAGTTAATATTATGTCCTTGAATATGTGTTCTAGTCAGCTAGTTAGGCAACAGCATAAAATTAAACTTTGATTTAAATTTGTGTCCTGAAGGTAGATAGGGAACTAGGGAAATTGTGCCTCAATCCTCACTTTCTGTAAGCTAGTATTCTTCCTCTTGTTTTTCAGTCCTGTCCAGCTCTTTGTGACCCCATTTGGGGTTTTCTTGGCAGAGATACTGGAGTGGTTTACCATTTCCTTTTCCATCTCATTTAACAGATGGGGAAACAGAGGTAAATAGAGTTAAGTGACTTGCCCAGGTTCTCACAGCTTGTAAGTGTCTGAGGTCAGATTTGAACTTGGGGAGATGAATCTTCCTGACTCTAGGTACTCCACTGCACCACTTAGCTGCACTCTTTCTACATAAGAGCAGTTTGGAAGTAGTAGGAACTAAGAGGAGATTTAGGTTCAAATCCCACTGCTGACGCTTATTGACTCTGTGACCCTGCACACATCATTTAACTTCTCAAACTTTCAGTTTCTTCATCTGTAAAACAGGGATGACAATACTTCATTATTTTCCAGGGTTGTTCTGAGGAGCGTGCTTTGTAGCCCCTAAAGCCTAGTGTAGATGTGGGTTGTTGTTATTATCAGATGGGCCCTCGGGACTCGTGGTTGCAGTTCGTGGTTTCCAAAACTTGACACCAGGAAGTGACCCTTGGTGGGCAGCAGTAGATGAAACACTTGCCACAGGACTTTGGACATGGTCGAATTTTAGTTAAATGTCTCCTATTGGACAGTTGTCAGAATGGGGAAGAAAAGAGATATCTGGGCCAAAAGCACTTTAAAAAATCACTCCAAATAAAAGAAAATTAAAGTGATGGTTGAACATTGCCTCAGCAATGGCCCTGGCTGATGGCTAGTAGAGGACCCTTGTAAACCCAAGGTGTTTAATCTCTCAGAAGTTAGAGACCCCAAGAGGGATGTGAGTACAAGAAAAAATAAAGAAGTGAGTGGATAGGCAAAGCACTCTTGCACACAAATGTTTATAAGTGATGATAATAAGCAGAATACCTTATGTTTTGTGGCACTTTTAATTGTTCAGAGTTTTGTTCATTATCTTTGTTTATCCCCACAAAAAATCTGCATGGTACAAAGGACTGTATTAGCTACTAATGACAACTAATATTCATTGTCTCTGGGTTCTAGTCTGTTAACTAAGAAGAATGTGAATTCTCTGTGTATCAGAATAGGTCTGTTGAAGCTTGTCTATATGTATGAAGGGATGTCACTTCTATTTAATTTGATGTGATTTTCAATCAAATCTTTTCTTAATCTGGTTCTGAGTCCAAGAATGGTACATAGATATGGCCTTAGACAAATTCATTAATCAATTCAACAAGCATATATTCAGACCCTACTTTGTGCCAGGCAATAAAGCCACAAATAAAAAACAAAAACATGACAACTCTCTGCTCTTGTTTACTTTTTAATGAGAGAGATGCAAGCATATACAAGGTGTTGTTGTACAGTCCTGTCTGAGTCTTCGTGACTCCTTTTGAAGTTTTCTTGGCAAAGATACTGGAGCAGTTTGCCATTTCTAGCTCATTTTACAGATGAGGAAACTGAGACAAACAGGGTTAAGCAACTTGCCCAGGATCACATAGCTATTAAATGCCTGAGGCCAGATTTGAACTAAGAAAGATGAGTCTTTCTGACTCTGGACCTGGAAATCTGTCCACCGTGCCACCTACCTGCTCCATGTACAAATTAAGTACATTCAAAATACATACAAAGCAATAATCTCCAAGGCCCCCCTTCTGTCTCTAGCATGGGATGATCCTACAATTCAACATGTCTTGTTTTTGATAAATGATCTCTTGCTAATTAAAGTCAACGACATCAAAAGATACGCCTTTTGAAGTTCAGTATTTTCTATATCAAACTATCTCGGTAGAAGATTTGTGAAGTGTTTTTGTTTTGTTTTGATTTTTGTACAACTATACATACATACACACACACACACATATATATGTATATATATATATATATATACACACACACATATATATATATAATTTTATGGAAAGGAATAATTGGATAGGCAAGATGAAATGGAAAGTCCTGGTAAAAACAGTAAAAAACAAGTATTCCAAAAGACTAAAAGTGTTTGATAATTTTTAACATTATTTTGAAACTTGCTTTGTGAGGGGCAAGGGAGGTAAATATAACAATGATATATGCATATAAATACTGAGTTTCCTTTATTCTCATATTCTTTTCTCAGTTCCTTTTACACAGTAGACACAGTATTTATAGAAATAAATATGTGTAGAATTGAATTGAGGTCTCTGTGATATGGCTGAGCAGCAAGTAATCTTTATATGTGGAGAAAGCTATGTAGCCAGCAGCAGGATTCCTATCAGTACTAAAAAAAGATTTCTGGGAGGTTAGGTCAGCTCTAAAGTAAGTCAAGATTTAGTTCTCTTACTCTTTTTCCTCACCGCCCTTCTCCCTCTCCTCCTCTTCTTCCTTCTCTTCTACTATAAGAAATTGCTGATTTTGAAACCAGAGGTTCTGGATTCAAATCTTAGCTCTACTACTTCCTATCTCTGTGACCTTAGGAAATTCATCTCTTTGAACCTCAGTTTCCTCATCTATAAATTGAGAGGTCTTGACAAGATGATTTCAAGACTCCCTCCAGCTCTAAATCACATGATCTCACCTTTTTTTTTTTTTTAGCAAAGACTCACCCAGCTGACACCAAAACTCAACTCTGCTCCAGCCTCCTGGGAGCTTATAGTCCACAGTCCTAGTGGGAAAGCATATGCAAGAATTATACACAACCAAACATGAAAGACACACCTTTTTAAAACACACACACACACACACACACACACACACACAGTAACCCTGTATAAAGTGGAAGGGAAAGTTTATTAGAAAAAGCAGATTAGTCAGGAGGGAGAGAGTCACTGGCATTCTCTGCTCAGTTAGAGTAGGCCAAGGAAAATTAGGCTGCTGAGATAGAACAAGAAACAAGAAAGTTGGGGAGGGGAAGGCATCATCTAGAGAAGGAGCTGTTCACCCACAATGGTAAGTTCTGCCAACATTTAATTAGCCACTTTTATTAAGTGACCGAATCGCCTTCATTTTCTGGGTGTTTCACTCCTTTCACTGAAGGAAAAATGGCAGGAGTCTGTGTCTTTTGGCTTCAACGACAGTGTTTTGGGATTCCCTTGTTTAACAAGGCAGAAGTTTCAATTAAAATCATTCCCTGTCATGTATTTTTGGTTAGCTGTACAGTATGGCATGGTTTAGGCATATTTTTAGTAGAAAAAAGAAAATAAAGCAAAATCATAGAATCACAGGATTGTAAAGTTGGAAGGAACTTCAGTGGTATCCAGGCTAGCCCATATCTGACAAAGAATGCCCATTACAACATACCCCCAAGGAGGCCATTTAGCTTTTGCTTTACGCCCTCCAATTAGGAGGAATTCACTCCCTCCCAAGCTAGCCCATTCCATTTCTAGCTCTGTATTTGGTAGTCCTTATGCTAAGAGACTGCAGTTATCTCTATTGCTGCTCCTTCAAATTCCCTAATCTCCCAATTTCTCAGTCTCTTTATATCTCATGAAATGCTCCTTCACTCACCCTTAGCATATGTATATATATGTATATGTATGTGTATGTATATATGGTTTATATCCTGCACCTTACCACTACCCATAAATGTCCCACTTCCTTAATAAAATATTAATAGCTGGCATTTATATAGCACCTACTATGTACCAGGCACTATGCGAAGCACTTTACAAATGCTATCTCATTTGATCCTCACAAAAACCCTGGGAAGTAGGTGCTATTATTATCCCCATTTTACGGATGCGGAAATTGAAGCAAATAGAGGTTAAGTGACTTGCCTGGGATCACTCAGCTAGTAAGTGTCTGAGGTCAGATTTGAACATACATCTTCCTGATCCAGACCTGTGGAATGCCTGTTTCCAGCTGCTTGGCATTCTTCCATCTGAACACAAACTCCTATCATTCCATCTTTTCCTATGTCACAAGCTAAAACCTATTTGCCTCTTTCACTGGGTCCTCAAATCTCTCTATTTTATTACTTTGTCAGGCCATTGACTCTGCTCTGACTTTACTGCCTTTTTGATCTTAATCCTATGGTTAGACAATTAACTCTATGATGTCATTTACTCTAGAATCCTTTCCCCCCTATACTATCAAACTCATTCCTTGGCAGACTTCAGTCCTAAATGTCTCCATGATCTACCTTCTCCACTCGCACTTACTTGTTACAAAATGGAGATGGAGAAGGCCAGACAACTGTGCTGAAGAGGTACGTCATAAATTCAACACCCAACTTCAACAGGGCCTCATACATGGTAATATTCTTATTTCTCTCTACTTGATCCCCTATAGAACACCCCCCAGAAATTATTCCAAGCTTTCTTGTCTCTCTTCAAGCCTCCAACATGTCTATCTCACTTCCCTTTCTTAGCTGAGGACCTAGTCTCTTAATTTACTGAGAAAATGAAATGTGAGCTCATTCTTCTCTTCATTCTGACCCTCCAGTACACTATCCTTCTCCTTGTCTTCCTTTTTCCCAGTCTTGACAATGGAGTACTCCTCTTTGTTGCCAAGGCCAATTTTTCTACGTGCCCTCTTGATCCTTTCCTCTCCTGTCTTCTCTAGCAGATTGTCATCTTAATTATCTCCTCCAAACCTAATTTTCAGTCTCTTCCTATTTACTGGTCTCTTCCTTACTGTCTTCAAACATGTCCAAACTCCTCCATCCTTAAAAAATAAAACGTAATTTAAAAAGCCCTTCTCTGTACCCTACTGTTTCCTTAAGGTACAATCTTACACTTTTTCTGTTTTGCAACCAAACTCCTGGGAAAAGATGTCTACCCTTATTGTCTACACTTCCTTTCTCTCCTCAGCCCTTTGTAGTCTAGCATCCAGTGGTGTCTACTCAACTGAAACTTCTCTCTCCAAAATTCCCAATAATCTCTTAATTGAAAGAGCTAATGGCTTTCTGTCCTTCTTCATGCTTCTTGACCCACACGCTACCTTTGACATTGTAGACAGCCCTCTCATCTTGGATACTCTCTCCCTTCTGAGTGCATGTGATTGCTTTCTCCTCATTCTGCTCCTACTTGTCCGACCACACCTTTACTGATTGATCATCAGTTTCACTCTCCTTAACTGTTGGAGTTGGTTCTCCAAAGCTCCTTCCTGGGCCTTTTTCTTTTCTCTTTCTTCCTGGATAATCTCATCTTGCTCCCCTGGGCGTGATTAGCTGCTATCTCTACGGAAATGACACAAATCTATAGAAACATCTCCAGGCTTTCCCCTCAGTTTCCCTCAATAAGTGAAGCACAACTATTGCTGGAAATGTCAATGTCAATGTACCCAAACATCTCAAATTCACCAAGTCCAAAACTGAACTTATTATCTTACCCCACCTAACCAAGCACACCTCTCTTCCAAACTTGCCTATTTCTATCAAAAACCCCACTCTTCTTCCAGTATCTCAAGTTGGTAGACTTTAAGTTGTCTTGGATTCATCACCTGTCTCATCTTACCCCTTTCTCTCTACTCCCGCATCCACCATCTGAGCTCACATCTTCATCACCTCATCTGGATTGTTGCTCCCTAATTGGCCACCCCACTCCAATCCATTGTCCATATAGTTGCCAAAGTGATTTTCCTTAAACAGCAATCTAATCATGTTACTCTCCTACTCACTGAATTCCAGTTTTAAACTTCTTGTTGTCGCCGGGATGAAACGTGAATTCTACTCTTTAGCTTTAAGAGCTAAACAATTTAGCCCAAACCTACCTTTCCAGTCTTGTTGAACATAACTCTTCCCACACTAGTCATCTGACCAGCAACATAGCCTTCATTATGCATCTACTATGTGCCAAGCTCTGTGTTAATGTTGGGGATACAAAGAAAAGGCAAACAAAACAAAACAATCCCTGCTCTATGCAATTCAGTCAAGGGGGCATCTTTTCTGTTCATAACACACAACACTCCATCTCCTGACTTTTTGTTTTTCAAACTGCCTATTCTCTACAACGTTCTCATCTCCTCATTTCTGCCACTTCCACCTCACATACTGCTTCGCTTCCTCCAAGATACGTCTCAGTTACCATGTTCTGAATAAAGCCTTTTCCGACCCGCACAAGGGCTTCCTCCCAAATTACTTTGTATTTAACTAGTGTGTATTTCTTTATATTTCTCTTGTGTATACTGATATATGCACTTCCTGTCTCTTTCTTTAGAATGTAAGTTCCTTGAGAGTAGGGACTATTTCATTCTTTGTATTTGCATTCTCAGCACCTAACACATTATCTGGCTCATAGTACATTTAGGTCCTGATCAGTGCAAATAATGAATCACTTGAAATGATCCATATATTCACATTCACACTATTAGAAGTTGTGATTAGGTAAATTTAGTAATTTATTATATTCCATTGGAAATATGTAATGTGAACTAGAATATATATATATATATATATGTGTGTGTGTGTGTGTGTGTGTGTATGTATATATATATATATATATAGTCTATATATATAAATAATAAATGCTTGTCAATTGATTGATTGGTAGATGGATGGAATTTTAGGACAGATTTCCTAATGTCAATCCTGAATTTTCTTCTTTGTATCTTCCTTCCAAATCTCTGACTGAGAAAGTGAGTAGGAGTGGGATGACCACTTAACCTGATCTCTGGGTCATGTCTGCTTTACAGCAGAGAGGACTTAATCACCTGAACTTCAATCCTGGGGTGTGAGTTCAATAAAATGACAGTTATATAATTCCAGGGGACCAAAACAGGGAGATAGCAAAGTGAGTTCAGACTCTTCCTTTAATCATGTGCCCTCTGTCCCACTTTCTAGCTGGAGTGATCACTGGGCATGTCCCTGAAAGGTCTATGCCTCATCAAACTCAAGGAAAGGAAAGTTTGCAGGTCACTCTTAATGAATGCAGTGGCTCAGGAGTTGCATTTTAGAAGCAAAGCAACAGGATGTAGATTTCCCTTTTCCTTATTCCCTGCACTACAGCAGATATCTTGATGGTTTGCAGAGCCCAGTGACGCTTAGACACAGCACACTTTGCAACACTCCAGCCAAAAGTTTGGTGCTGTATTAATTGGCTTCAATGAAAACACTGTCTTCCCCTTACGCTGTTTGAATAGTGCTTGTTGAATCATCATCCTGAGTCAAGTGTTGTTAATTCAAGAATCAAAATGCCTTTTGTGCATATCAGATAAACGTTGCCATAGCAAGTGTAGCATAAACAGATATGTTCAAGTCACAACAACCTATAGAAGCCGGCAGGCAAAAAGAAGCAAGTTAAGCGTTCACAGAAACATTAGTGTTGCAATAAACTATATCGTCTATGCCTGGGTGTCCGACAGCATGAAAGGCCTCCTTATGAATGGAACCCGGAGATGAAATGATCGCCTTGGCGTAGCCACTCTCCTTCTTACGTTTATCAAATTTGAGCAGCCAAAAAAACATCTGGCTTTAATCGTGATAGAAACTGGAGGATTTTTGGCTGCTCCCTGGTTCTGCATACTTTCCGTCCTCTTTATCAGGGCCTTTGTCAGTGACTTGATGAAGTTAAATAGGCTGCACTTGATTCTACTAACATAAGAAAAATTGTGGTATCTCCCCTTGCTACCCCTCCCCCCCCAAATGCTCAAAATGAGTTTAAATTGAGTTGGTTTGGATCATGTGCCCCTGCCTGCAGAGAATTTAAGGGGGAAAGCGAATGGGGCTAGGTTCTC